CGCTGCCTGAAAAGGCCCGCCGGAAGCGAACCATCAAGCTCTAGTCACTCGGATTACGCTTCACCCTGAGAAAGTCAACAGCCTGCCGTGGGAACGGAATTTTTACATCACCGACAGCTGGGGACGTTCTGTTGTTGTTTGTTCAGCAGCTCGGTGTACAAAGAAGTCTTGACACGTCCAAGACGTGAGCCTATCTAAGTTATGTCGTTGAACAACGCTCGCAGACTTTCGCCTTACCTTCAATCACACTGGTTCTGAGCCATAGAAAGGGACGCCATTGCAACCCACGAGTGACCATTAGAGACCATGAAGGACCATTAAGGCCATGACATCCTATGAATATTACTCCCTTGCTATTTCTCTGAATCAGCAATTGGATCCAGGTCAAACTGCTTGTAATGCGATCCAGACTAAAGCTGCCTTCCATGGCCGTGGATAGAGTGATTCAAGCCTGGCCATGCCACCCTGTGGGGTTTCTCGAAGTTTTCTCGAGACGTGGAGTATGTTTGAAAGGAAGAAGTAAAGGGAATCGTGTGTATTTTGAGGGGATGTTTTGAAAATCGCGCAAATCATTCTTCAGTTTGTGGGGCGGCCAGAATGGTCCTAACCCCAGCCAAACTGCAGGTTCTCTCACAGTTTGTTACTGACTCAAATGAGCGCCCGGAGGGCTTGACAATCGGCACATATGTCGTCGTTGAGTCAGGACGTCAGTGATTGAAGAACGCAGTGGCTGAAGCCGTTGTGTGTGTGATTTGGATATGATTGTTCAGCTGACAGTAGGCTGGGCGGCAGGTGTGTGCCACAATTCAGAGGAACTGCAGACTTCCGTGCTCTTTTCCTAGCACTGCCCTGCTGAAAGACAATGTGAAAATGCACAACGGCTGCTTGTCTTCATGGCAAGCCACACTGGATCCCTCAACATTGTTGAGAACACATGCGCTGAGTTTTCTGAAAAGGCAGCGAAAAGTCGGCGCGCGGCGCAGAAGAGTGGACAACCGAATGTTGGCTTTCTGGAAGCGAAAGGGCCTGCGGTTGTCCAAAGCGAATCGACCGAATCTGACCTTTTGGTTTTCCCATTTTGGTCCATTTTGAGCAAAGATCCCAACAGCCTAACCTTTTGTTTCCAGGGCCCTTTGGGCAACTGAGTCAAGCCTGAGGGGACTTGCCACTTTAAGCTTGGCAAAGAAGGGATAAATCGCCACGCGGGTGCTATAGAGCTTCCACTGAGCTGATCCATAGCAAATGAAGGAATGCAAGAATGGCCTCAGAGCAGCTGCATTTGTTCTAGCCAGGCAGAGTTAAAGTTGAAGAGAAGTAGCGCTTGTTTCTTCTAACGGTAGTGGCATGTTTGCAACTGTTGGTTCCCACTGATGCCCACGGATGCCAACCACTGACAGGCCTGACCTCACCAGGGCGGTGTTTGGCGGAATGAGTTGTCCTCGCAGTAGCCGAGTATGGCCGACCTGGGGTCTAAAACGGGAAATCAATTCGAGTCCATGGCTTCCCCGCATGACTTTTCTGGCCGACCCGGTTGAGATTGCGAAGCCTCGGCTAGGAGCGGCGCCGGGCCCGCGCGGCGAGTTTTTGAGAGATTTGGCAGGTTGTGTCAAACGAAATGGAGTGAGTTTGCGTTTGGGTTTGGCTTTGTGCTCGCGGTTCAGTTTGAGTTTGAGCTTGTGTGGCATTGGCTGCCAGCCATCGGCTTCCTTAATCCCATTCTGTCCTTGGCATTGGGACAAACATGACAAACCTAAGGGGCCTCAGCCTGCGGCTCCCCCCTTTTCAAACCTGACGTTTTGGGGGGGTCCTCGTTTGGACCATTTTCCTTTTAACCGGACCGGGTCCCGAACGTCAGGTTCCTTCTGTGCAATTGGTGGGATGGTACTTGAACACCATCTATCCCCAACCTTGACATAGTCGTTACATTTTGGAACCAACAACTGGATACGTCCACCCCAAATGAGCCACAATCAACACCCGGGTAGATGAAGGGTAGTAAGGGGCAGTCCCAGCCAGAAATAGTTGCGGCCGCCTTCTTAATTCTTTACACGGTTCTGGGTCGACCATTTTAATACCGGGTTTTGATTGTGACTCAAATACCTGCAAGGTCGCCTTTTCCTTTTGCTCCCTCGGACAAAATCGATGCCAGGATGTGCATGGACCTTGGCGAGGTCCCAGTGCTGGGCAGGCGGCTTAGGGTCAACATCTGCATCCATAGGTGTCCTTTTTAGGCTATTTTGGTTAGAAATAGATGGGTTCCACTGGTTTAGGTTGGTTTCATTCCATTTACCAGGGCCATATATTTTCCCAAAAGGCCACCTATGGTTGCATCCGTTTCCAGTTCAGACAGGCTCTATTTCCCTTTTCTCACTTCCCGAGTTCAGAGGTGAAGCCCCTCTTCTTCCATTTGAAAGTGTTTGTCTTAAGGGTTGGTTCATGAGTTCCGATTGAGCTTCCAGTTGTTGTAACACATATGTTATTTTCCCCTGTTGGTTTTAAAGGGAATCTATCACTGTTGGAAATAGTTTTTTCTTCCGGGGGGCTTAAGCAAATGGAGGTTCAGCTGAGCGGTTCAACCAGCGAATCCTCCGGTTCAACTTAGCTTTTTAGCTGGTTTTAGTTGGTTATTGGTTGGGTGTCCATTGAACCCACTAAAAGTTAGACGTTTAGCAGGGATCTGAGGACGGCACTGTTAGATGAACGTTGATTTCCTGCAGGTTGATTGGAACATTGCATTGAAATGAGTGAGAAGCAAAGGGTGAATCACAAACCACGGTACCCTCTCAAAAGGAACAACTTGGCGACCCCAATATTTGGTGATACATGCCACACGCGCATGTGGCGAAGATGAGTCGTGGTGCTCGGTGTACCATGCGGAGAGGCCGGAAGATTAGTGGGAGGGCGATGGGAATGTGTTTCAAGTGCATGGTCTTATGGGGTTTCAGCACGGATCTGAAGCAGCAGCAGCAGCAGCAGCAGCAGCAGCAGCAGCAGCAGCAGCAGCAGCAGCAGCAGCAGCAGCAGCAGCAGCAGCAGCAGCAGCAGCAGCAGCAGCAGCAGCAGCAGCAGCAGCAGCAGCAGCGCAGCAGCAGCAGCAGCACTTGAAGCAACGGCAATGCGCTGACAAACAAAAAGCATCCGAAGGACAAAACACATCTGAAGGATGCTGAACCGTTGCGTTTTTCGAGGTGGGCCTGAGAAGGTTCACCCTACGCACCGGAGCGAGTGTCCAAGCGTGCGCTTCCTGTACTGCAGCACTGACAAGCTGAGATGTTTTTTTGTTGCTGGAGCAAGGTGTTCGCGCTGAAGAGTTGCAATAGGCGGTGACACCAATGAAGAAACGCATGAGCTGAAAATCGGATTTGCTGATGCCCATGCCGCAACCTAGACGCCTGTCCAGCTCTTGGCCCCTTGCGGTCGGTATGCCTTGGCAGCGCCCAATTTGTTTGCCAAAATCAGGTTTCACCACATTTGCCAAAACTGGGACCCGGAAAACGGGCTCCCCCAAAATTCGATGACTTCCATTTGCTTAAGAATCTTTTTCATTTTCCCTTGTTGGTTTCAAATGGAATTTATCACTACTGGAACTATTTTTCTTCTTCCATTTGTTCTTACCCAAATGGAAGATGAACACCCTGGCCTTGCCGCAGCTTGGGGCTCGCCAGCGACTCGCGGCTTGGGCGCCGGGGGCAGCGATGCAGCGGGAGCCGCAGCGGCTGCGCTGCAGCTCCTGGGCGCAGCTGGATGCCAAGCTGTGGCCCTGCGCGGCGGCTCTTTGGACCTGACTGATCCGGGGGATCCAAAAAAAGCGGAGGCGCTGGTTCAACTAGGGGCAACCCAGCTAGGTGCCCTTTTTTACCGTTTCGTTTTTTGGGGGGAGGGTCCCCTATTAAACTAGACTACAGAAAAAGAAAACAAGAGGGGTAATTACCCTTATTCTATCCTCTCTACTGGAGGACCTAGTCAGACAGGGGCAACCCAATCCATTCAATCGGGCAGGATTGATACTGATGTTCCTACGTTGCCCTACGGCATCCTACAGCGATCAGCTTTGCAGCGCGGTGTTAAGGGTTTCGCTTCCCGGACTCCATTCAAACCAGCCGCTGCAAAGAGAGTTGAGTTTGCCCTTCGCACCTTGTAGTCTGAGGTGACGCTGTGCCTGCACCTGGCAATGCTTCCCGTCTCACAGCGGGACAATGGGTCAGCGAGCATGGCTTCTGAAGCCCTAGCGCCGTTTTTTTGTTTGCCGCGCAGAGATGCTGAGGTATGGCTACGGTTTTGCAAGCTGCCGCCCGGGCGGGCACATGTGGAATACCATCTCAGGACCGAAGCCTTTTGCTTATGCATAGGAAGGACAGGAAGTGGGAATTCCGTTTTGGCTGCGTCGTCTCGCAGAATTCCACCCGTTTTGGTGGAGAAAGGAGCTTTGCAAGGAAACGGGCTCCTGGTTCTGCTGGCTGGTTGCCTCACTTGCAGACGCTTCAGGATACGAAGGCGGCGGTATGATTGACATGAGCGGCACCTGGCTTGCGCTGCCCCTGGCAGCGTTTCATCGCCCGCTGGAAGACTTGTCCAATCGAACCTGCGGAGGCGGGCTTCGAAAGCTCGGTCAAACGGAGTTGCAGGGTTCATGTGGATGCCTGTACGCTTTTGGAGGTTAAAGACAGGAAGGATAGCCACCTCGTTTGGGGGATAGCGCCCCCCCTATTTTGACACTACCCGTTGATTTGCGTATTCGGGCTGCAGAGACAACACGAGCGTCTCTTAAACAGCGAGGCCATGCTTCGACGCCCAGCTTCTTCAATCCCTTTCCTTCCACGTCCTTTTTCTCACTTTTCCGCGTCAAGAGCCAACAGATAGGCGGCGACGTGGAAAGAAGAAGGTAAGAAGGCAACTATTTGTTTATCATTTTATCATGTCCTTGCTACTTCTCTTTATATAAGATCTTGCTGGGGAAGAATTAGAATGTTTTATATCTTTCTAGTTCCCTTTGTTCTACTATCAACTCTGCAAACCAATCGCTGCCGGCAACGCCAAAGACTTTATATTCTTTGGATTTCGGTGGCCGCCTCACGCCTTGGATTTCGGTGGCCGTCTCACGGTACTCAATCCTGTCAGGATACCTTAGTAGATCTTGGTGAAGCACATCTAGGTCCTCCAGTAGAGAGGTTAGAATAAGGGTACCCGATTTTTCTGTAGTCTGTTTTAGTAGGTTGGAACGCTCCCAACCAAAAAAGGGGAGCGAAGGGCACCTAGCTGGGGGACCTAGACATACTTGGTGGTGAAAGGACTTGCGGACCACTTTTGTTGGGTCGCGGGTAAAAGTTTTGATCTGCCGCACCCATTTGACATGCAAATGGTTTCGGCTTGGCTGATGTCACTGCGTGAAGGTCCACCTGTTACGGAACATGTGGATTTCAGCCGTGCCTGATCCCATCGATTCTTTTGGTCTTCGCATGACTTCAGTGAAGCTCGTATGTTTAATTGAAAACCACAAGGAAAGTGGCCTGCTCAGGCCAAGTGCTCAGTTTTCCCCCAACGCCTCAGTCCTCATTCGGCCGTGTGTGAAAGTCATGGTGTTTGCCACAGCCGACACGCCCCGCTTTCCAACGGCATGGCGGCACGCGTTGGAAGGATTCACACTATCAAGGGACACCTTGTTGCTACACTCTGGCAACCAGCCAGGTTCCCATTGTTCCACCACCTTATAATCCAGGCTTCATGTCCACCAGAACTTTGAGTACACACAGATTTAAATATAAATTCATATATATATATAGGTATATACATATTTGTGCGTATGATTTGCGGGGAAGAGAAGCGAGCATCCAAATGGCAACAAGAGTTACAATGATAAGGAGATCGAGTGTCATGCCAAAACAGAACAAAGTAGACGACCTCCTACCTCGAATTCGGGTTATTTGCCGTAGCCGTTTTACATCTGTTTGCGGACGGCTAGTTCTGGTTTGCAAAGAGACACTCTATAGTGTCCCTTTGGCTGTGTGAAACGGATGGCCTACCACGCTCTCAGAAATGGGAAACGCGTCATAGCTATGAGGTGTCAAAGAAATGAATCGGTCGAGGTGCCATCCCTTGGTTGATTGCATCGTCGTGACAGACGCCGTGTCTTTTTGCAGTTTTGTCATGTTCGGATGCCGTGGCTTAGGGCCAGGGAAGCAAGGTTCTTGTCGTTGTCAGCGTTCAGTAATCAACTCCAGCTGTATGATTTTCCAGCTGCCCTGAAATGTCTTGGTCTTCTGGTATTAGTGGCGATGGTCAGACCATTGGCTGTGATCAGTGCGCTCCTGTTGATTGTGGATTGGAGTATCGCAAGTATTCCGCCACTTCTTCTCCTCCTTCTCCCTGTTCGCTGTTCCTTCTTGGCCTTCTTACACTGGCCATGAAGGGAAAGCGCTTGCATATTCCATTCAGAAGCATCTCGTCGTTCAAGTGCTTCACGCGCTCAGTGGAAGACATTTCTGGGATGATCTTCAATTCATCGTCCAGAAAGCCTCTCGGCGCTTGAGTTGCGCGAAGGTCTTCACCCAGTGGGAAACACAGGTTAGCGTGCAATCAGGACAGGCTGCCTTGCTCGACGAACCTTATATAGAGTGTGGGCCCATCCTGTAGTGTAGCAGTTGGTTCACTCATCAATGATTTCAAACTCAGTGAAAACTTTGAAGAGCTCGGCCTTTGCAGCCAGCGTCAGCCAATCGTGTGGATGCACTGCTGCTGGCGATGCCAGGCACAAGCAGGTCGCCTCAGGCTGATTTCGTCAAGCGCGGCGCCAGGTGGTGTTTGTCGCCAGGGAGGTATAGTGGCGAGCCCGGCCACACGGTCAGCCCGCTGTTTCTCAAGAGGGAGTACAGGAACACGTTGGGCGCATTGGATGCGCCTGAGCTGAAAGCGTTGTTTGCTGCTGGCGTTGTCGCGCGGGGCTGTGGCTCAAGAACCAGCTTGCCGCCTACACCTATCGCGTTTTGCCATCCCAAATTGCGCCGAGGACGGCCGAAGCCCGGCGACCGCAAAGGCCAAGGCTCGCAGAGGCGGAGATTGAAATCAGCCTGCGGCTGTCATCACAAAGCGTGCCAATTCTCTTGACGTCTTAGGGAGCCACTAGTCCACGCAAGGCAAAGCACGGGCGTGTCTCAAACACAGGCTTCTGCCAGCAACTCTTAATTTCTCACAGCGCTTGCAGTGTCTAGATGGCGGGTTTGCCATCTGGGTGCCTCACTTCCACCAGCTATTTCCGCTCCCGTCCGAAGGTTGCACGCCCAACTTTTCTGCCAGCGCTGATCCAGAAGCGCAGTGACACTTAGATAAAGCCCGCTCAGCTACCACAAGTGTGCAGAAACATATGGGCAAAAACGATACGCGCTTGCCTACTTCCAAATGTAGAGGTGTCTCGGAAAGGAGAATGAGGAATGTCTGGACACACAGTTTCCCGTCTTGTTGTTGCGAAGGTCTTATCTGGGGGAACACACAGCGAGACTTTTACCTCCATCGATCTGAGCGAAGACTGTGAGCCATGGCAAGGCCTTGGGCCAAATTAATTCGGAGAGGGCTGCAGGCCTGGAACAATTCTATTTTATTTGTCTGTTTTTTTGTTCTCTCTCTCTCTTTCTTGCTCTCGCTTTCTCTCTCGCTTCCCTTCAGCATTCTGCGGGGTTCAGGGGTAGCTGCCTGGTTTGGATTCCTGCACCCTTGCTAATACTGCGAACACCCCACCTTCCATGCAGCCGCGCTTCTTCACCGCAAACACGCAAGTACCATTCTTCGCGGACAAGTTTGGGAGTGGGATAGTTTTAGAACTAAGCCCTAAAGACAACTAACAATCTAAGAGAAGTTTGGAGTTCTTATTTTGGGGAGTTGGCTGCAGGGAAACTCAGCCAGGCACGCAACGGGGCCAGCGCCCAGCTCCCGGATGGGATTCCTGGGTGTGCACGCCCAGTGAGGATATCCGCGCGGAGGAAAGCTACACCACCTGGAAGAGGCACGGAACCCCTTGGTTCGGCTTTTTCGCGTGAGAAGGACAATTGGAGGTCCAAAATCAGGCGGGCTGGCAAAACTTCGTGGCGACTTGTTCGTTATGTTCGACTTAGCGCATGTCCAACCGGAAAGTAAACTGGATGTCAACAGGCACGAGTGGGGTTGGAAACGCAGGGCCTCCTTTTTGGGGATAGGCATCACAAAAACTTATTAGGCATCAAAAAACTTATCGGCATCAAACAAACTTATGCTCATTCCTATTGAAGGAAGGAAGGAAGGAAGGACGGAAGGAAGGAAGGAAGGAAGGAAGGAAGCAAGCAAGGAAGCAAGGAAGCAAGGAAGCAAGGAAGCCCCCCCCCCAACCACCCCGCTGATTTGTAGAAGGTTTACAGTGATTAACGCACCCTTTGCTGAATCATCACTTCTTCAATCATCATCACCCTTCCATCATGCCGCCCCCCCCAACCCCCCCGCTGATTTTCAGACTGTTTACAGAGATTACCGCGCACGGGAGGGGCTGCCGCCCCCCCCCCCCCCGTTGTAGAATGCTTACAGAGCTTAACACCCCTTGTTGAATCATCACTTCTTCGAACATCATGGGGGGGGGGGGCTGCCGCAGAGATTACCGCACCCTTTGCTGAATCATCACTTCTTCAATCGTCATCACCCTTTGTCTTCGAACATCATGAAAGGGGCTGCCGCACACCCCAAGCCCCCCCCCCCTGCTGATTTGTAGAATTCTTACAGAGCTTAACGCCCCTTGTTGAATCGTCACTTCCTCGAACATCATGGGAGGGCTGCCGCCTCCCCCAACCCCCCCGTGATTTTCAGAATGTTTACAGAGATTACCGCACAGGGGGGCTGCCACCCCCCCCTGCTGATTTGTAGGATGCTTACAGAGCTTCACACACCCCTTGTTGAATCATCACTTCTTCGAACATCATGGGGGGGGCTGCCGCAGAGATTACCGCACCCTTTGATCATTTGTTGAATTCTCACTTCTTCGAAAATCATGGGGGGGCTGCCGCCCCCCCCCCAACCCTTGCTGATGTGTAGAATGCTTACAGAGCTTAACGCACCCCTTGTTGAATCGTCACTTCCTCGAACATCATGGAGGGGGCAGCCCCCCCCCCAACCCCCCGCTGATTTTCAGAATGTTTACAGAGCTTAACGCACCCTTTGCTGAATCATCACTTCCTCAATCTCTCTCTCTCTCTCTCTCTCTCTCGTTAAAATCGGTGGTTACTTTGCTTACAAGTGCAAGTGCTGTAGTGTTCAAACAAACAGTCAACCAATGTAGTCTGCAGCTGCCAACCTTTTTACTCATGCGGAGTAGTAAGCTCAAGGCCTGCGGTAGTGAACATACATGCAACAAGAGTGCAAAGTAAAGCATGTAGTTTGACACGGCCCCTCAGTTAAAAGGTCTTTGTAGTACCTTTTCAACTGAAGTGCAAAACATGGATTGACAGTAGTGATGAAAACCATTGTTGTTCATCAATTCTACTGTATTGGCAAAAGTAGTGACCTGCGCTCAGTAGTTCACGCTGTTCAGGTTCCAGCTCGATGTAGGGCGCTGGACGGAAGTAGTGAAGGCAGGCACTCGTTGTAGTAGAGCAGGAGCTCAAAAATGTAGTACCCAGTTCTGGGTGCGGGACCTTCTGTAGTCGACTGTCCAAGGTCGCGTAGTAGTTGGTGGTGAAAAAGTTTGTCATGTAGTTTGGAGCTCCCCGTAGTCGCTCATCATCAAACTCGGGACACGACATGTGTTGTTCGTAGTCCCGTAGACAGCGGTGTAGTAGTGCCTTTTGGTGTTGTGTGAGGTTGGTCATTGTGAGTAGTGTGAATCCGTAGTATTGGATGCTTTTGCAGAGGATTGTAGTGATTGCTTTGTGCTGGAAGTCGTGTAGTTGGTCTCGGTTGTAAAGGTAATGGAGTAGTTCAGGTAGAAGTAGTGGCATGTGGTAATTCCAAACGTAGTTGTTCCTGAGGCTGTAGTTGTCAGTGAAGGTGGTCATGTTGTAGTTCACCTTGAAGATGGTCTGTGGCAGTGTTGTAGTCGGGAGGTAGTAGTTGTGTTGTACCGACATCATGTAGGAGATGTAGTCCCTTGTGAAGTGTAGAAATTGTCCTGAAGTGAGGTACCTCAGGAGTAGTGGTTGTTCAATCTGGAGTTGGATGATGACGTAGTTGGTGTTGTCGCCAGTTGTAGTGTGGAGTGAAGTCGTGTGGTAGTAGTGGACGTTGGCTGCTTCAGGTAGTGAAATGCTGAGCAGTGTGGAATTGTAGTGTGGCATCCGAAGATCTCCAGGGATGCAGTGAATGGGTCGTGTGTAGTCCAGTTGTGCCAGTGGAGTAGCTTGTTGTTGTGAGAGTAGTTGATACTCTTCAAGTGTAAATGCAGTGAAAAATTGCGTGTAGGGAATGTTGTTGGCCAGTGGTGGTGCAGTGGTTGTCTGGTGCTCAGTGATGTGTAGTTGGTCCATCAGTGTGGTCGGGTTGTAGTAGACGGTGTTGCCGGGTGTAGAATGGTTGAAGTGGTAGTTGGAGTCGTTGTAGGTTTGAGGTGGTGGAGTTCCATGGTCACTGGAGTCTGTAGTGACCGCCACCTCTGGTGTAGACGCCCTGTCGGGTGTAGGCGCATCTCCCATCGTAGCATCTGCAGTAGATGGAGCGGCCATGGCTGCAGTGGAATGCAAAATGTAGTGAAACGGGGCAAAACAAATGAGCCTAAGTAGTTGCTACCAGGCAGTCGGCGAATGCAGACATGTAAAACAAACAACTGTAGTGTTGACTCAAGCCGCCAAAAGTGCAAGTGAAAGTACATGTAGTTACTGTTACTTACATACCAAAAGTGTCGTGTTACATGTAGCTACTTACATACATGAAATGTCCAAAGTCGTTGTTGTTGTTGTGAAACTGCTGTGCTGGTCGTTCGTAGTGCTAGATGCGTATTCCAATGCTCTGGATGAGCCTGTGTAGTGTTTCTTTGCTGATGTATTTGGTAAACAAATCTGCGCTGTTGTGGAGTGTGTTGATCTTAAGGATTCTGATGATGTCGTGCTTGATGAGGTCTTGTGTGTAGAGGAATTTGAGGTCGATGTGTTTTGCTCGTTTGCTAGTGCCTTCTCGTGTAGCAATGCTCTTGCCTGCTGTGGAGTCTGTGTGGATGCGTAGGTTTAGCTTGCTGCAAATGTTGGTTTCAAGTAGGAAGTTTCTGAGGTGTAGCCCCTCATTAACTCCTGTGCAAATGGCGTAGAGTTCAGACTCTGCTGAGCTGAGTGCTATTGTAGCTTGTGTTCTGCTGCCAAATGCAACTGTTGTTCCTAGAAAGATGATGTTGAAACCTGAAGTTGATTTCCTGGTAGTAGGGCATCCTGCCCAGTCGGCATCGACATGAACGTCGAGATCCAGGATGTTGTTGGTGTTTGCTCTGAGTGTTGTTGTTGGTTCTATGGTGAATTTGTAGTGCTTGGTGCCGTGCAAGTAGCGTAGTAGATGTTTGACTCTCTTTTGTGAAAGTTCTGTAGGTGCTGTGAGGTCTCGTGCTAGTTCTTTTGTGGAGTATGCAATGTCTGGTCGTGTGTATGCTAACCATTGAAATTTGCCAACAATTCTTCTGTACCTTTTGTGTTGTTCGTGGTCAAGTAGTGCTTCATCTTCTATTGTTGGTTTGTAGAGTCCTTTAGTCCAAGATTGCAGTAGTTGCCGAAGTGGTCGATGTTTCTTCCAAGAAATTGTTGTGGTTTGCCAGGTTCGAGGTAGCCGATGTGCTTGAGTAGAACCTGCTTCTGGACGGCCTCGGAGACCATGATGTAGCAGTCGCGAGTCGCATTGGTGTAGACGTTGGGTTCTGACTTTAGTCTTACAAAGCTGAGCTTTTGTAGAACTTCAGCCAGGTAGTCCTGCCATGCTTTCGGTGAACTGCGTAGTCCATACATGGCTTTCTTTAGTCGCCAGATTTTGTCCTGTTGTGGACAAAGTTCTTTAGGTGGCCAAAGGTAGACGTCACGTTGTTTACCGTCGTGGTCTTTTGCGATGGGTGCGTGTAGAAATGCTGTAGAGACGTCACCTAGTCGCGCGATCCAGTTTGGTCGTGACATTTGTAGTGCGAGAAGTGTCCGGAGTGTCGTGAACATTGGTGTAGAGGCGTAGACGGAGTCTTCGTCCTCGATCTTCTCGGTGTAGCCTTTTGCGACGATTCGGCTTCGTACTCCTGGTCCTTTCTTTCTGTGTACCCATCTTGTAGGTATCGCTTCTCTGATGACGTTGTCGTTGACGGTAGACGCATCTACTTCGTCGTAGACGTCGTGTAGTTTCATTTGGTTTGACTCGTGTTTCATTCCTTCCAGTAGTTGTGTTTCGTCGTAACCTTCGTTGTCGAAGATTATGGGTTGGTCTTCTGAGGTGTCGTCGTTTGTGTAGGGAGTGATGGATTTTCCGTTGGGAAGTGTCACTGCGTTGATTTTCTGTCGTAGTGGTGGTGGTTCTTTGGTTGCTTGTTCCGTTGATCTGATTGTAGTGTCCTTTGAGGTCTTCTGTGCTTTAGTTGGTTGCATTACTTCTTCCGGAGTTAAACGTCGTAGTGTTTGTCGAGGTGGTGCTGGTAGTGGTGGATGTTGTCGTCCAGTTGGTGAAGTAGCCATAGGACTATCCGGTAGTGGTCGTGAACTTGACGTCGATGTGGACGGAAGTCGTGGAGGTGGTGTAGTGCGTTGTTGTTTTGTTGCGGGTTCTGCAACGATGTCGTCCGTAGCGTTCGTTTGTTGTCCGAAGTCTTGCGTGGACCTTCTTTTCTCTGACGGTTGTAGTTGCGTATCCAACAGTGTTGCGAACGATGGGTTGTAGGTGTTCCGTCGTGGTGCCCATGGTGTGCCGGAAACTTTGTTCAACAGTGCGAGGTCGTATTTGAAGTCCGGTTGTAGTCTCCGTACTGTTCGTACCTTTTGTACGCCTGATTCCGTTGCGACGTAGTTTTCTCCGGTTTCGGAAACTTTTCCGAGCCAGATGCATTTCTGCATCCGTAGGTCTGCTTTCGGAAGTTTCTTGTGTTGTGGTGGAAGGTAAA